TCCCTTCCAACCTTAAGCATTCTAAAATACTGCAAGTTTTTTAGGTTTGCAAGATTTTTATCTTTCCATATGAACTACTAGTAAAGTGATGATTGAAGGTAGAAATTGCAAGCAAAAGTTTGTGAGAATATCAAAAAAAGGGTCTTTGGGATAGACTCTAGATTAGCTCCACTTTTGCAGTATATGGTGATTAATGTACCTATTGCGTTCAGAATTTGAAATGCTCTGGCAAAAGTTTGTTCTATCTCAGTTGAGTCTGAATACTGTGTTCGCTGTGACTTGCATTCAGCAGAATGTATACTGTGGCATGTGAGTAGATCAGTGTACAGGAAATCTATGGTGACTGATAATGTGTTATAAACTTTTTTTTTTTCTGATTTGCAGGTAGAAAAAATAACTGGCCACCTCTTCCTGAGAATTTTCCAGTGGGTCCGTGTTTCTATCAGGATTTTTCTGTAGACATTCCTGTAGAATTCCAGAAGACAGTGAAGATTATGTACTATTTGTGGATGTGTAAGTATTTTGAACAGAAAAAAACAAAATGCCTATTCAAACATGATGATCCTTGTCTGCTAATTTGACTTTTGCACCATCTGTAGTGAGAAATGTATTGTTTTAATCCAGAAGTCAAATGCTGAATTTAAATCTTTGTGTTAGATTCAATTTTAAGAGTATTGAATTATTTCATAGAAACTTTGATGGAAGAAAGGGGAAAGTATTACCTCTAAAGCAGTTTGCTTTATACCTATTGTAGTTTTTGTTTAAATATCCCTCTTGTTATCAAACAATCTCTGAGCATTTATTACATTAAAAATAATTTTACAGTTTTTAAAATAAGCTTATGTATTAAGAAATCTATATCACAGTATGAGACTTGTGTCAAATGTGCAATGTTCCTTTTTCTAGAACTTACTATAGGTTTAGTCTATTTAGAAAAATAAATAGTATAACATAGAACAGCAGAAGAAACAGCCCACATTTATAACTATTCTTTGTACTGCACAAGTGCTCTAAATAGTCTTTGAGGGGTTAATTTTGCATTCATTTAGGTGCTGTGCTTTGATAGGAAAAATGCTGGATGAATCAAGTGTACAAATGCCATGACCTTTGATTGTCCTGTCTTGTCTGGTGTAATGAGACCTTAAGCCTGAGGCAGAGGAAATTCCACAGGTTTAGGTGTTTTGATGCCATTAATATATATTTTAGTGTCCTGGGGGATGTGAATTTCAGACTTTTTCTGTATTTTTTCAGGGTTTCAGATTTAACAAATTTGCATATTTTAACAGTTAATTTAGTAATCTTATTGTTGTGATTGTACCATATATTTGAATCACGTAAAATGAGCAGTCAGCACTAAATCTAGTGAATTTCACTTCATTATCTATAGTTTTATCCACTTTCTTTAAATAAGTAACTGAATAAATCCTATTATAGAATTTGAGATTAGTCACTCTCATAAATCTGACAGACATTTAAGATTTATATCAAGTCTAAAATCGACTCCAGAATTTTAGAATAGTTAATAACTTTGGCCATTTGCAGGATTGAGTTCTAAAAGTGCTGATGTTTTAAACTCAAAGGGACATCGGGCAATGAGAATTGGAGTATTAATACTCTTTTTTTTTCCTTCTTATGAGAATAAATGAAGAAACCACTGGTGTTAATTATTTCAAAATAGATGAGAGTTCTGCTTTCATTTTAGGCTGACATTTTCTTCTAAGTAAACTGAGACTTTAACTGAGTCTCCTGTTCTTTTCCTTCTTTAGTCTTCATTCTCTATCTCTGACTTAGGAATCACGAAGGAAGGAAGGAAGAGGGCATATTAAAGGAAAAGAAAAAAATGAAATGAGGAAGCCTGAAGAATATTGCAGACTACAGATAATGGTTGAATACAGAGCTCCCTGCTTCATGGCTGGCTGTTCAGTCAGTCCTTGTGAATCCTCTTTTTTGGGAATATACCTCCATGGTTTGGTTCATGCTTCATTAGAGTGGCTGTGCTTCCTTAACAGCTGCACTCATTACCACAGCAAACCAACCTACTTCTGCTTGTTGCTCTGGTCTATATTTTATTTCATCTTCCAGAACTTGCTAGGTCGTAAAAGGCGATGAAGATAATAACATTCAGAAAAATCTAGTTCTAGCTGCTCAGTGCTTTGCAAAGTAGGTTAATTTTCCTGCAAGTCTTTAGCAGCCCTAAGAATACACCTTTCTATTTCATTTTTTCTGTGTTGTCTTGATTAGTAACAATGTTAATATCTTTATTCTTAGTCTTTACATTTCTGAGGAAACCTTCTCATCTTTTATGGGATCAATAAACTCTGTGGTTTGAGAATAGAGGTCAGCCTATTCCAATGCCAGTGAATTTCTTCACCTTTTCTCTGTTGGTACCAGAATTCAGAAAGATGTTATTCCTTCATGTGGTTTGCTCTCTGCAAGGATGATTTTTTTTCTTCTGAGACTGTCCTTTTTTGCTTGTTGTTTTAACTGACAGAGTGCTCTCAGGTGTTTGTACTGTCTTCTTTTTAACACCCATTGCTGCTTTAGGGAGAAGTGGATAGAATGGCAATTTTGCTGGCTCCAGTGGCTTTGAGCACTACTCTTCAGATCATTGTATACTATTACTAGTGAAATGACCCATGTCTTCTGACCAAAAAACATTTTTGACTTGAAAGCCTGTGTTTTCCAGCTACTTTTCCACAGCCTGATAGGATGCAAAATGAGCAGTATTAATTTTCAAAGAATATTTGTTTTCTGAAATTAAAACTGAAAAGTGGCTCAATCTCATGGCGAGTATTTGAGGCGTTTGGATTTGTTGTTTTGTATCGTTTGTGAGACTTTTAAAGATTTTTAAAGATAAATGACTTAAGATATAGATTCTGATGAAAATCTACCTCAAGGTACCAATTGTTACAGTATTTGTTCCATTTAGGAGAGTTTTGTTTCCTCCACCCTTCACTCTGATGAACAGTCAGTAGCACCTATATCAGTCTGTGCTGATTTTTGTTTTGTGCTAATGTTTGCTCTGCCTGCCCTTGAGGACCTCCAAGGAGGGATAATTTGTAAGATCCCTGTTCCTCCCCCTATCTCAGCCTGTTCCAGTATGTTGTCTTCCTTATCATTAGAAAATGTTTCCCAGCATATAATTTAGTTCTCCCTTGCTGTAATTTATTTTTGTTTCTCTCTCTACTGTTTCTATGGAGAACACATTTTTTTCCCCTTAGTTATCCTTTTTTTTTTTTCTCTACATTAGTATAGTTCAGTCAGTCTTTCTTTGTAGGTCATCTTTTCTAGACTTCTGATTGTTTTGTTGCTATGTTGTTGTTTCATCATTTCATCCACTCCAGATTATCATGTGGGTTTTTTTGAGTGTATAGCATCCAAAATTGAACAGTGCGAACTGTGTCCAATATTTCAGCAGTCTTAATATACTGGGTAGAGAGAAGAAAAAGCATTTCACGTCTGGTAGGTAGAATGTGCTCATGTTCCTATATCATTTTGTCAACAGAGGAGTGTTTGCATCTCTCTGTGTTTCTCTCTCTCATGCAAGCTAAAAAAGAGCAAAATAGACAAGGAGCAAAAGCTAGACTCTAACTGAAGCCACTCTGATACAACCCAAGGTTGTACATGATCAAACTTCGCCAGCTTTTTCCTCGCTTACCAGGTGCACATGGCTGCAAAATTCTCCATTTTAGGGACATTGTGTTCTAGCTGGGGCATTCCACTACAGGGCGACAGTCCAGCCCATTCCTGGGAAGAACACTCATTCTTCAGCCTATCCTAACGAGGACTTTGGCTTCCTCAGACTAGCCTCAATAAAACATTATTACAAAAATCTATTTCATACAGTCCCAATTGAGACTGCAAAATAAATTCAATAATGTAGGTGTCAGCTAGATAACATCAGTGCAACTTGAGGTCTTTATACATTATTCACTTTGAAATATTAATGGGTGCTAAAATACAGTTAATTAAGATGGGGAATGTGGTGCTTCTAGGTAGGATTCCTTTATAACAGGAAGTTACACTAATACAAATGAAGTTGTGAGTGTGAATATTTCACTAAACCAGTATAATTTCTCACTTTCACTCTTATTTTGATATGAGTGCTCTTTTAAAACTCACCTTCTTTCTCAGATGAACTAGAAAAAGGCTTTCTTAGGTCACTTCACGTTGAGTGCTGCATTGCTCTAGCCATGCTGGTTCATTGTGATTTTTGTCATATAGATGTTCTGTGATACGGAGCTCTAGCCAAGCCTTGATTCATTTCAGCCCTCACATAGCTATTATCTTGTAATAACTTTTAGCACACTTGAATTTGAAGAGACACATAGGGAGAAGATACTTAAAATTGTTAGCCTGAACGTAAAGACAAATGTCTTTTTATTTAATGGGAAAATTCATATAGATCCACTGTCTCAAAGACTTAATGCCTTTCTGTAGTTTGCAAGAATTAGAGAGAGTGGAGGGAAGAGGGAATTATCAGTGAATTCCTGTGTCTTCCTCTGGTGCTGCTCCTGAGTTTTTGGAGCTAAGATTCCTTGTGACTTCAGTGAAGTACTGAAGCAGCCCACTGTGTTACCAGTTTTACTATGCTGATAAGCATCAGTGGATGTGTGATGGGTTGAGCCCTCTTCTGCATTCATAGCAGTGCTCTCTCTAAACTCATCCTGGTATCTGTGGAATTGCAAAGAGTTTAGCCTTTCTGCAAGTTCAGATTCCACCAGAAGCTGGGACCTTTCTAGTAATCAATGGGGTCTTTTTTCCAGTAAGGAGTAGATTAAAAAATAAGTATCACTCAGGAAATTTTCTCATATTTATCAAAGAAAGGTTGGGATTTGGATATGTTCTCTGTGTTGTACTGTATGATGCACACACAGCAAATCTGAGAAGTGAGTTGCATTGTTAGCTTCTTGGAAAAATGTTTAACTATTTAAATGAATTAAATGCTCTTTATTTAAAAAGCACAAAGTTTTCTGTTTCTGGTGATTCTTACAGGGGAATGGGATTTCTGTGAGGAGAAAGCGTTTTGAGTTCCTTTAGCCCTTCATGTTAAGATGTGGGCATTTTAATTTAAGGGTGTTTTTTTGTTTTGTTTTTTGTTTTTTATTTAGAGTTTATTTAAGTACTAGTTGAGAGGGAAGAAAAAAATTTTGACGAGACTTTTTCAGCATCTTACCAGCTCTTTGGTTAACCTTCCCATCTAGTAAAAGCAACATGGATAAGTGAGAATTTGAATGTATGCACTGTATTACTCTGAGAAGCAATAAAGAAGTAAAGCTGTAAGGAAGGGCATGAACCATGAGGATTTCTACGTTTGAATGATTAAAATGCTTCTCTGAACTTTAAATAAATAAATAAATCACCCTTGGTGCGAGGAACTGTTTGTGTACTCTTATTTATAAATAATGTATTTTATCTTGGTCCACAAGGACAGAAACTGTCCTTGAGACAACAAAATCCCTCCTGAATCACTAGGTATTGCTGAACTGGAAGAAAAAATCACTTCCATCTTTTAAGTGTCTGCAGAACAAACCACTCTGCCAGATAGCTTGAAAATAGTAGTTTTTGCTAGAAATCACCCTTAGGAAATTGATTAGGATATTGATTTATTGTTAGCATGCCTGTTTTCTTTACAATGTTCCATTTATTTGGGATTTATTTTAACATTTGAAATACATTATGTCTTTACAATAAATTAAGATGCTTTTTTGTTTGTTTGTTTTGGATCTACAGTCCATACAGTGACACTGTTTCTTAATATCTTTGGATGTTTGGCCTGGTTTTATGTTGATCCAACACGAGGGGTTGATTTTGGATTGAGTATCCTCTGGTTCTTGCTTTTTACTCCTTGCTCTTTTGTCTGCTGGTACAGACCACTTTATGGAGCTTTCAGGTAACAACTTCAGCTTGGCTTAAGATGCTAATAAATAAATAAATACACATATATCAACTTGCTGAAATGTGTTAACCTAATAGAATTTGCTGAATTATCTTTATGATAATCCTTCAATATGATTGAGTGACTGCCTGTCGTTAGAAACAGGTAATATATTTGTCATTAGGTCAACTGATATATCTGAAATAGATGTCAACATTTAGGAATGTCATGGAATATTTAAATATTCATAGCTTCTGCAATTGCAAATAATATTTGCAGGAAATATTTAACTTTGTATTGGGCTAATGAGGTTTTTAATTGAAATTCTCATTGAATCTCTACCCCATCACACCAAGAATCTGAGCAGGTTAGTAGGTAAGGGTTTATTATTACCTGTTTGGTTTGCTGAAGGAACTTGCTAAAACTCTACACTTTTTACATTACAAATTTACATTTTAAGTAACCTACAGCATGTGTTATTGTAATAGATTGAGATTCTTGAGAACAAGTAGAGCAGGTGTAGGCATAGCTACCAAACTCCAGTATTTTCTGCAGCTTTTAGCACTCTGCATTTCTCAAATTTCACAAGCCTGAGGTGCGGTATCTTTATGGTCCAGAATACTGTGGTTTGCATGCTAAATAGAGCATTTTGGTGAAAAGTAGCATACAGACCTTCTAAAATCTTGTGCTCTTGCAGTATTTCTTATGGATTTATTTTATTATTGAAATGCATTCAGGAGAATTAGGATATTGGAAAACTCAGTTGAAGTACACTATTTTTTGTTGAGAGATTGATAGTCATTAAATGCAGTTGAGCATAACTTTTAGGCTAAAGTAGATTTTTTTGCCAACCACAACCTGCTGCAACCACACATCTTGGAATGTGTGTTCTTGTATTCTTATGGTTAAAATATGAGGACATTCTTTTACTAGACTAACTTTTGTTCATGATTTGTATCACAATGTGGGTTTAAATTGAGACCAATAGAAAATATAGAAAATGACCAGCATTTTGACATGTTAGCTTTTATTAATTGATTTTAAACCTTACATATCCTCCTTTAAGAGTGTTGTTTTCTATATAATTATTATTTCAAAATTAACTGATTTTTTGAAGGTGTTCACAGTATTACATTATCGTTCAGGTTTTTAGATCTAGCAGATGTTGGTGTTTCTTAGTTAAAATTGATTGTTTGGAAGAAGAAAACTGCTGCTTTCATTTTCAACTTTCAGTTTCTCAGCTGAAAATGAAATAGTTATTGAACTGAACATGTTGAATAAACAGAAATTAAGAAACCCTCTTCTGCAAAAAATGCTGGATTTAGCAAAATCTGGATCCAGGTTCTTAATCTGTGACCTAACTAATTCAATGATTTTTACCTTCTTTACAACTTTGGCAGGAGCATGCCACGTTATTATTAGTTTTGATAATAATAATTTGAAGTCTTTATTACAAGTTTTGCTTGTGCATTTATTTTAGATACTCTGTCTTGAATGTTTCTAGTCTCTGTCAAATTGGCATTTTAGTAATTTGAACAGCCAGTGTATTTTGTATATTTTGTATGTTTTGTTAAACTGCTTCAGTATTCTGATCTGCATTATTTTCTAATAATTCCATATTAGATTTTATTTCCTTTCACTAGTAAAAGAATTTTCACTCACACTGACAGTGTTGTAAACATCAACCTGAAAGCAGACTCTTATTCTTCAAGCTCTGTAGCAAAACTTTCCCGGTTAGTTGTGCGTAGGAAAGCTGCTTTGGGAACATAACGTTATGATGACACACACTAACAGTGTTTTGTGGCTTTCCTGGCCTCTGCTAGAGACACAGGAGGCTAAAGTAGTGTAGTGTGGAATAAGCAGCTTTTTACAAAAAAAAAAAAAAAAAAAAAAAAAAATATTTTAAACTGATATTATCCAACGGTGGGGAAACTGGTGGGTATTTGGCTCTCTGTAGCATTGTACTATCTATGTACAACTAACAAACAAGCCCAAACCTTATATTTGAGGTATTGGATAGTTTTTATTTTTCTTGTTTTGTTTTTTGTTTGTTTTTTCCCCTCAGGAAAATCTTATTTCACTGGAGTTGTTACATTTATCTCTCAAAAAAGCATTCTTAGATTTTAATATTAATATACTAACCAATGAAAATTCTAGCTAAAATTTGAAGAATGAGTAGACACTGTATTCAGCTGAATATAGTGGCTATATCTTTCCTTTAAGTTAATATTATTTGAAAGCTAGTTACTGTCTGAATCACCTCCCTATTCTGTAACAGTTGACTTTTCTTTTTGATGCTTATAAGTTAAAAATTGCTTTCCATAAAGCAACCCATAATTAGCTACTTTTACTTGAATTACAGTTTCTCTTTGAAATTTCAAGGTCTAATATTTAGATTTTACAGGGAATAGTTAGTAGTTTGCATTCATAGTCACAGCTCCTGCAAAAAAAGGCAATGAATTTGAATTAACTTAAAGCACAAAACCAACTGACAGTACAGAGAGCTGGGCCTGGCATTCCAAAAAATTCCTGTACCAATGACGTGGTGTATGAAGGGGCTTTTGCAGTTGGCCTCCAGGTGTAGGCCAGTTAGGCAAAATAGTCCCCGTTTGGAACTGGAGTGCAAGGAAAAATCTTGTATCATTATTGTTGCTGTCAAACCTAGTGTTTTGATTTTCAATGGGTACCTCTTGATTGACATGGACAAAATAGTAATACAGTTTTAGAGGGGCAGCTCTTCAGGTATGTGATGTGTTTGGTATTATAGTTTTATGTTGATGTTAAGATTTTTAGGAATGGGAAAATGTTTGAAGTTGCTACCCTAGTATCTTCTCCTTCTCTCCATGTCTCATTTCTTCACCACTCTGCTCAAGGATAATCAACTTTCTCAAGCTTTTGCGGACAGTTCCATTGCATACATTGGGAAAATAGAGTCAAAGTGCAAAAACCTTTTTATATAATTGATTTATGTATTTATTCAATAATTCATCTATAATTTCCATTACCTTTTCTTCCAAAATACTCCCAGTTGATCAGAACCAGGAGGTTCTAAAGCTTCTCTAGAGGTAGATACCTGTGGCTGAACAGTTCACGTGCTTTGACGATAAAGCTTGTCCTCTTTTGTTTTTTTTTTTTTTTTCATTCAGTGGTTGGATTTCATCTCTTACTGGTCTTAATAAGAGTATCCCTGTTGGCATTATGATGATAATTATAGCTGCACTTTTCACAGCTTCTGCTGTTATCTCATTAGTTATGTTTAAAAAGGTAAGTTACTTTTTATTTTTTTACTTTTTACTTTTTTTTTACTTTTTATTTTTCCACGCTTCTGTTGCCTGTGTTTCAATTGGACTCACTCTACTTTCCTGCTTGAGAGAGGTTCCCTCTCGCAAACTACTGGGGATTAAAAGATATTCTCGGGAGTCTTTAATTAACAACTGTGCTTTTGCAGTACTGTCTGCATCTACTGTTGGTGACTTAGGAAACACTGTGCTACAGTGCACTTTCTGCAAATTGAAATGTGGAGGAATAGCATGGAGCAAGAGGAGTTGGGAGGGAAGCCCATGCTGAAAGTGGCAGAGTGCATAAACTGCTAACCGATTTTCACATCTGTAGCAGTTCCTCAGGCCACGTGAAGCACGGCCTAATTCAAATGATTGCCAAGTTTCAGCTCTTTGCAAAGCCTTCTTATAACAAAAACGGAGATGCCTGGCACCTGGGAAATGCATGGTTATTTCTCTGCCTGCAATAGTTAACATTTTGTTGCCAGGTAATGATTGCATAGCATAAAACTTCAGAGGATTTTTTTTCCCCTTGCTTTCTTTTATTCTGAATTTCCAGCCAGAAGGCCTAAGTTAACACTAACATGCTAATAAAGTTTTGATGTTCTTTTGATTAAATGTAACTGGAAATTCCTGTGATCATGTGCTGACACTTCTAGTAATTCTGCCTAATTCCCAAGTTAAAGTTAGCATTAAATTTTAAGCATATCCTTGAGCTCTTCCATCACCTTATTTGCTTTCTGTGTAAATACTCAGGTGCAGAAGAAAGAAACAAACAAAAATACATGGTGGAACATTTTTTCTCACACTCTTTCTTTCTAGCACCTGCATCTGGATTTTTTTTGAAAACCTGTGTTTTTTATCCTTCATAATATTCATTTTATACTTTTTAATATTCAGTCATAGCTTAGCGCAGTAGATTCTTGTAGACATGTAAATCTTAGAGACATTAAAATGTGTCAAGAATTGGCATAGGAAAAAAAAATAACCAGAATATTATTGAGACAGTGGATTCAGAAAGTGCTTTTTTGGTTTTGTTCCCCAACATTTTTTTAACATGCAGTTACTCAGTCTTCAATGTGTAGGCCAAGTTGTATAGCAGTTGAGACAGAAAAAGCTTTTGCAAGCAGCTGCAGCCCTGTGCTACACTAAGGATGCTGCCTCCTGTGCATTGAACAATGGTGTTTCAGGCAGCAGGCAGCACCCTGTTTTTAGAAGGAGCTGTGGGACCGCACAGAGCTTGCCTGGGAGCGCAGGGAGCAAACATGGCAGTGGAGCAGTGCTGGCAGCGCGGGAGCCAAGGCTGCCGGGCAGTGACGGGGAAGGCGCTTGCTCCTTTCCTGATTCTGCCAAGCACAGGAGCAAAGCAGGTTCCCCCTGCACGGTCCCCTTTGCTCAGGGCCTTTGCGGCTGCCCTGCCAGGCAGCAGGAGGCCTCATGTGCTGTTCTCCTGGTTCTCCC